CGCCAGTGTCGTGTTTCGGGCTCGCTTTAATTGTGTCTTGTCTAAGTACATATGAATATGCATGAACCTATTCCCCCTAATTAACATACATCACAGTCTAGAAATCATAAAAGATATCAGAAAACTCATTAATAATTCATGAAGGAAACACAATAGAAATCATGACCATGAAGGAGATTTTATATCTGATATAGATTCGTCTTCATTTGCATAAACTTTAACTTGTATTTTCTCTCATTTTTTCTCTCGGCTACGATAAAAAAGAACTGTAGTGTTAAAACTGTTAGTTAAATAATTTAATGATTACGATTAAAATTATCATATTCATAAAACTGGTTTGAAACGTTCCGTGTTCACCCCTCGTAGCAAACTGCCCTGATGCTTTACCCCACAGTCAATTCAAAAAATGTTGTTGTCGACCAACTCAAGACTACGCGACTAGACCGAAAGGAACTCTGGGTAGTAATCAATGAAGCCGAGTTGACTCCATAATTTTATCTGACTAGTTATACCTGGTTTACAGCACGAACCTTCGTAGGCGAGCGGGAAGTGTTGAAGGAGGCGTTTTTTTAATGCCTTCATATTTTCGGAATTGTGAACTAAATCATAACTAGTTTGTTTTTCTTTTCCTTAACCCGAAGAAATGCATTATTGATGGATTGTTTCTGGCCATTATTATCTTATTACTAGCGGAAACAATTAACTCAGAACGAATATTTAACCGCTTCAGATATTTTTACCCATATTCCTTTCGGTCCAGTCGCGTAGGCTTGAGCCGGTCGACAACAACGTTTTTTGAATTGACTGTATATGAAGTTTGCTTTACCATTGAAAGTAAATGAAAAAGAGGGTGTTTGCAATTATTTCTATAAATCTTGTTAAAAATGACTACCTGCGCTTTTTCTAACAACGCGGTATCAATATTAATGGGTTCAGATATGTAGTTCTTTTAAAACATCTCTATTAAGGAAGTACTGAATAATTGTCAATTCTGGCTGAGAGGCTGCATACACTGAAAGACCCCACTTTAGATACACGTGACTATATTGCGTGACACAAACTCAACCTTCATATCTCGGGAACCAAACATCAAAATGACTCGAAATGTTTTCTTGTGACTTATATCACTGATTTCAAGAGTTCGTTTTCTCTTAGTGCTGATTTCTAAAACATACTTGAGAAATGCATGCCTTATACCATGCATATAATTAAGATTTTAATGTTTTGACGACGTCGCGTAAAAACCGCAATAGCTCTAAAATACATATATGTTTGATGGCGGTCCAATTAACAACTGAGTTCCAGGGCGCTTATTAGGTAGGGCGGCGAAACGGGCTGGCCGAGCAAAAAATGTGTGATGTGGGGGACTGGGAACGAGTTTCCTTTTACTTTTTACTGCCAATCCGGTCAAACCATGATGGCGGGCAATAGTTTGGAGCCTATTTTGTGCGAATTTGACCAAGATTTTCTGCAAATACGATACCGATGATGATAACCTTAACCCTGAACAGGACGATTTAATGATTCAAGGAAAGGACATGGATAAGAATGAAGGTTTCCTTCTCACAAACGTTACGAAACATTCCCTTTCTTTCTTATTGGAGAGGTTAAGTCATTAAACATGAAAGATCTCTTGCTGAAACAGTGACCAACATTGCGTCCAAGGAATCGCTCATTTTCTTTCTCGCTTTAATTCAATTCAAAAATCTACCATTTGAAAGATGATTCATCATAATATAGCATATATGAATCTTGGAGAGGTGCTTTAAGTTTTTATTGGAAAACAGACCGTTGAAGATTCCTTAACGCGCTTCTTACGTCTTTTTTTTAACCGTTTACCTCAGCAGTTTACGAAAAAAATCGAAAGCTTCTATCCATATGATGGGAACGCTTCGAAAAGACAAAATCTACTCCATGTATCATCACTAATTTTTTTAGATTTACTAGAAGGATTTGAGCATTAAACCTTGAATGTCGCAATTTTTGAAAAATTGTCTTCCGATGATAGCAGACGAGCGGGACAAGAGTAGCGGCGCGGAGCGTGAAAACGTGACTAGTTCCCAGTCCCCCTCCGCATCACACGTCGGACAATGACCAGTGGTTTTGCCGCCCTACCTAATTAGCGCCCTGCTGAGTTCAGTAGTGTACCACTTAAGATTCAATCTGTTTGTTTTTTTTAACTAGTCTACTCGATGCAGCGGTGAACTTCGCGCTCGTCGAACGCTTTGGTTCATAACCTTGAATTTAGGTTATTCTGCGCAGAATCTTACACGTGAATCTAAAACTATGAAGATAACTAAGCCCTGCTCACACATACCACATATATTTATAACAGTTTGCACATTTTATTTATTTTTTTAAATCAGAATAGAGCATTAATTACACAGACTACTTCAAGAAATACAATCGTTTCTTCCACCGGTTGATTCAAGTCGAGAGAGTAATTATATTTTGTATTAATTTTTTATTTTAACTTCAGTCATTCTTCACAATACCACACATAAGGTGGTTATTCAATTGGCAACAGTGTACAAGAAATTTAAGGTATAATAGAATATCTTTTTTTTACTGCGATTCCCAGTCACACGCGACCAAGTGAGACCAAAATCACAAACGAAAAATTGAGTTTTGGTGGACGTCAATCAAAAGGGTTTCTTAAACCTGTCTAAGGATTCCGATTTTCAAACGTTTAACTGCAAACTATCAGTATTGACTTATCCTATATTGAAGAAACTCAAATCATAGCCATAGCGATAGCTTTGCAATCAAGCGTTAAGATTCGGAGCCGGAATCCTGTGACATTTTTTGAGATAATATATCCAGAGTGAGAAATTCACAGCGACAAGAAGCAATAAAGGACAACGAATTTTGCACATTTGCACGTGTTCACGTGAGTATTCACATCAGTCCTGGTGTAGAAACCAATAGAAGCGATAGAAACCCTTTTGATTGATGTCCACCCAAATTTAAATTTTCGTTTGTGATGAAGGTCTAGTTGGTCGCGTGTGACTGGGAATCGCAGCAATCACAATAATCTGATGAAACAATTGGCTTCCTAGGCTTCCTAGTACATTTGTATTTCTATTGCCTATAGAGTGAAGTCATTAAACCCGTGAAATAGACATTAGACTTTAGTAGACCCTAATTCCATTGTTTTCTTTTGTGTCTATTTGACTATTACACGGTGACTAATAATTTTTATTTCACGGGTTAAATGCCTTCACTCTATCATAGTCATAGTTACATTTCTAACTACAGCAATTGAAAGATTTTTATATAAGGAGCTTTAGATAGATAATCGTATCGTTTCATAATCTTAAAAAAAAAATTTTTTTTGAACTAAAAAAAACATTGCTTTAACGGAATATGTACAACTTGTTAATATTGATCTCTTCTACTGAACAGGTGACGTACCTCAATTTTTTTTAAAATTTATTAATACACGATCTTTAATAAATGTTATCATCTTTGAACGAAGTACAATATTGAATATCAATAGTTTTTTGTATCAGAAGTTACTAGTAATTTGTTAGATATATACATTGCTTTGAAAAGATCGTTAGAGAATTTTTTCCAATTCGACAGAACAGAACAGAACAGAACAGAACAGA